AGGCCTTACAGAAAATGATAAAATGATCAATAGGTTATATTACCACAGACAATAATTTGAGGCTCAGTGGTTCTGTCAGCATCGTCTTTACTGGTGAGCACTGCGTACATTCCTAGAATGTCTCTACTGCATTCCTCAAGGAACAGGGATTGACTTTGTAGAGATTAATTCAGTGCTCTGTTTAAAATCCTAAGAATATTTTTTGATATTTTCAAAATGCCACCTATTTTTTTCCCTTCATCTCAGAAGCATCGAAGTGCTCCCATGGCTAAAAGATTTACTGGTGTCATCACCATTGCCTAGGGGTATTCTCAGTTGAGGGTTCCTTTCATGTCCCTGTGAAGTTGCCCACCAAAGTGGTACCCATTAATCTACTCACAGTTGCCCACTTTCAAACTGCTTGGTCGGCAGGAGCTGGAGTATGTGGTGGGAGCTCACCCTGCCCCATGGCAGCAACAGGTCTCGAACATGAGACTGCCGATTCATTAGCCCAGCATTCTAACCTTGTGAGCCACCACATATTGGTCATTAGAAACCTTAATTGCACCATAGATTTACCCCGTCCTTATGTTTTGATGTGGATTATTTTATATTTAAAGCCAAATTTAAAAAGATTGTTTCAAACGTCAAAATCATTGGCTGACCAGCAAAATCCAGTCATAGAAACATTTTGTCGGTCTGCAAGTGATCTTGTTCAATCATCACAACAGAGATAAGATGTAAAAGTTAGGCATTCTAATTGATAGCACAAAGTTCCTATTTTCTCGGTGTGCTGATATTGAAATCTGCCTGCCTTTCTCCACAGGGGTGTGGGCTGCATTTTCTATGAGATGTCCACAGGGCGGCCGCTCTTCCCAGGCTCCACAGTCGAGGAGCAGCTGCATTTCATTTTTCGGATATTGGGTAAATATCTACCCAAGGTTGCATTGCTGAGAAATCAGTGAAGAAATGGGAGGCAGAGGAGAGGAAGATAATCAGATAGGTTGATCTATAATTTCAAAATGGAGGGTAAGAGTTTCTTCAGGGATACCAATTAAAACACCATAAGATGATCAAAGATGAAGTACATTTTTAAAAAAACACTCCCAGATCAGCCTATCTGTCACTAAAAAAATTGTGTCTCTGAACTCACTTGGAATTTGAAAGACACAATTCAGAAGAAGAAACGGAGCTGGAACAAAGGGGGGGTGGGGGGGAGGAATAATCCTTGTGAGTGGAGTGAAAACTATTGAGGAGACGGAAAGTCCCGTATCTTGGCTATGCTGCTGAAATGATCTTATTTCTCATCTTTTTACTACTTTCATGTGATAGGAAAATTGGAAGTCCCTTTTTTTAAAAACTCCTTTTCAGAACTCTGCTTTTTCTCTCTGTTGCCAGGGACACCCAATGAAGAGACATGGCCTGGAATCTTGTCCAATGAAGAATTCCGAGCGTATAACTACCCCAAATACCGTTCTGAGGCCCTGATCAACCACGCCCCAAGGTGAATGTCAGACTATAGTTCAGATGTGGGAGCTTTTGATGAGTGATGAGCTGCTGTAGTCATCTCATAAAAGAGAAGGAGAAAGATGACTGCATCCTCAGAAGAGTTGGGATAGGACATTCTGGGCAATTTCATGTAACCCTTTCAACCATTAAGAATAGAAATTTATTTTAGAACAAGAAAGGAGACTCATTGTACAGCCATAGGTAGTTTTTCTTTCTTTGTCCCTTTTTCAGTGTGGAAAGAGAGACACCCAAGTAAAAACCTATGGATCAGGTCCTCCCAGGATCTTGTACGGAAGATATTTCCTGTCCAGTTGTTCTTTTTTTCAGCAGAGATGCAGGCAAAGAGTTTTGTCTGGAGTACCTTCTCTGCTGAATTCCAGGCAAGGACGTTGCCAAGATGCATCAATGAGCATTTGGTTAAAATCTTTGTGCTTTCTTGGGAAGAAAGGGGGATTAACAAGATCACTGTTTGGTTCCTAAGGGTGGAAGAAACATGGATGACTTTTTGGTGCAGTTCCAAACGAATACTTGACTTAGGGACATGAACTATTTTACATCTTCAGATGTTGTGTCAGAGAATAACAGTCCCAGGAAGCAAAGCCTCAGTTTTCTTCGGGAAATTAATGAATCTGACCTTTCTTTTCTCTCCTAATTGTACAGGCTAGACAATGATGGGGTTGATCTTTTAGGAAAGCTGCTACAGGTGAGCAGTTATTTCATTTTGTTGTTGTTGGAGAATTAAGGTTTTGAGGTCTCTGACCCTTTCTTCTAGGAATCTTAAACTCCTTACATTCCTTTCCCATCCCCAAGCAGTGGAAAAATATTCCCTGCCGTGGCAAACAGGCAACCATCAACCTCATTAACAAATAGAGATCATATAAAGAAAGTATTGACTTCTTGTCCCCCCCAAAATAAATGCACTGGACAGAATGGGCTACCAATTAGGACCTCAAGTGACCTCAAGGACTGTTGCAGAGCTATTCTTTGGGAATGTCTGCATGTATGTGCGTACACACAAAACAAAACAAATTCCAAAGTGGGATACATTAAAAAGGATCCATCAAGTGGATCCCTCATAGAGCAGGTGCTCCTGCAGAAATAATTCTGCTTTGTTTGCCTTAATTTCTCAGTGTACTATCTGTGGATGCTTAATATGGCATGTGGCTGTAGATGGAGAAGTAGAAGCATTTAGGAACACTATAGGTTTCAGCCCCTTAGCTTGCTTTGCAGGTCATTGCTGGCAGGGTTTTACTCATTTGTCCGTTGGTCAAAATAGGTGAAACTTTTGATCCACTAATTCAAATATTTTGCATTAGGCATGGATTGACAGCCTCCCATATGCAGCTCCTGTGGGTTGTTTACAGCCTGCCTGGAAGTGTAAAATCTGTATGCTTAAAAAAAAAGTGCTATATGTAGTTAGCACTTGATTAGAGATATTTTACAATTCACAGTATTCTGGTAACTGAAGATAGTTCAAATCCTTGGGTTTTTCCACCCAGTTTGGCCTACTTGTTAAGACACCTGGCTAAAAAAAGTAGGAGACTGACTTCAAGTCCCGCCTTAACCATGAAAGCCGACTGGGTGACCTTGGGCAACTCTGTCAGCTCAATTCACCTCACGGGGTTATTGTGGGGAAAAGAGGAGGAGGAAAGTGTCTTGAATTATATTCACCACCTTGAGTTATCTGTGGGGCACACCTGTGATTCCAACAATGTGATAACTTTTGGGGAAAAATGCTTTTGTGTTAGGACCAAAAAGCTAGATGCCATTGAATCAGTAGGATTGATCTCTTTTCTATTCTTTCTTTTTCTCTCCCCAAATGCAGTTTGAGGGCAGGAAGCGGATCTCTGCAGATGAGGCCATGCGTCACCTGTTCTTCCACAGTCTGGGAGAAAGAGTCCTCAAACTTCCAGACAGTAAGTGCAGGCTTGGGAGGGAGAGAGGCCAGAGATGTCAAGTAGTGAATGAGAACAAGGTTAAGAGAAGGGCGTGTGATGAAAACACGAAGTGGATGATAAAAGGACCATGAATTCATTTGCATGCTATGCCCAATTCTTGCCATGAATGACATCTCCATTAACTTCTTTTAACTTCTCAGTTATGATGTAGTGGTTAACTGGAGAGGATGTTTCCATTGATGGGCTAAGAATTGAAGGGTACCCATGCTCTTTTTGCAGTTATTTTGTTACTCAGCTAATCCAGTGGGTTAGTGTATGTAGTACACTGCTAAAGGCTGGAGTGCAAGTCTGATCAGTTACTTCAGCATATGACAGCTATCTTCACAATTCCTGTCAATTGGGAATCACAAAGGACAGAAGATCTAGATGTTTACCATTTGACACTGTGGCACATTGTATGAAGGGTCTTTTCCTTAGACTTACACCGCACCAACCTGCTTCCTGCTTCTCCTATCCATTTTTATTTAGCCTAGCTTTAATTAACCTGCTTTAATATGCTGGCCAAAGGAAATACTGACCTCAATTCCATCTTCTTCTCTGTCTCAACAAGGCAGAAGAAGGGCAGGGAGAAGACTGAATGGGGAACACCTTTGGTGTCAGGTGCTGACAGCAGAAGACTACAGGACTGTTAGCTTGGTGATCTTAGAGAGCATGGGTGTCAAACTCGCCGTGTCATGTTGCTATCACATGACATAGCGCGATGTTTTTTCCCCTTTCAGGAGTTGGGGTGGGCATGGCCTGCACATGACCCAATTGGTCTGTGGGCCGCCACTTTGACACCTCTGTCATTCAGTGAGCCCTTCTTCTTCTTCTTCTTCTTCTTCTTCTTCTTCTTCTTCTTCTTCTTCTTCTTCTTCTTCTTCTT